TGCACGCTCGAGTCACAGAAATTCTCCGAGAAGTCGACCGGATCACTCCGAGAGTCGGCCGAAATTGGATCACGCATGGCAAGATTTTGGAAGCTCTGCAACAGGTGTTCCCTGAAAAACTCATTGTAGCAGTAGACGCCTGTCGGGGAATCAACAGACTTCGGATACCCCCCAAGCATGTGATAGCACAAACATGTCCCATTCGATCAGCAGTAGGCCGGAAACGTGATGACCAAACGATCATGATTGACGGGGGATGGGAGAATTGGTCGATCTTATCAAATCGTCAACAAATTCGTGCCGGAACTCCATCGAAGCTGTTGCTCACCATGTTCGCTAGGGAACACGAGCAGACCTCAACGCCAAGACCTGTGGTCAAAGCATATGAGCCGGACCATTTTGGAACGGACCAGCGAGAGAGCAATGCGTCGCCGCCAGACCTGGGATCAGCTGAGAAGACCGCTGATCATGATCCAACCGGATCGGAAGTCTCGAAGCCAAGTGACTTCAAGCCAGTCCATGGACCCATGTTTCGAGCATTGCCGGAAAAGTTGCAAAATCAGATCATCAAGATTCACAAAAATCTAGGACATCCCGGACTTCCACAAATGAAGGCCGCACTCCAGAGTGAAGGGTGGTCAGAAGTAGTCATCAAAGCATTGCCGGATTTCGCATGTGATACATGTCGTGAACAGGAAGCCCCGAAAATCGCTCGTCCGGCCCATCTAAATGCCCCGAGGGACTTTAATGACCTGGTATCATTCGATGCTCTTGAATGGAAAAGCCCTGACGGCCAAAGTTTTTGGTGCTACCATTTCATCGACTCAGCCACAAACTTTCATGTCGCAGTCCCTTATCACCAAGGAACGTCACAAGGGTTGATTCAATGCTTTGAGGAAGCATGGATTCGCTGGGCCGGCCCACCCAAAGAGATGATGTTCGATAGTTGCGGGGAAGCCAATAGCCAAGAGTTTGGGGAGTTCCTGCAAGGTCATGACATGAGGGCATATCCAATCCCATCACGAGCTCATTGGCAACTGGGGAGGGCTGAAAGAAATGGAGCCATCCTGAAGACCATGTTGACAGAATATCACGCCGAAAGTCCAATAAGAGATCATGAAGGGTTTCGACAAGCACTTCTCCATCTATGCAGTGCCAAAAATTCCCTTTCGAAACATGCAGGATATAGTCCCGAGCTCCTGGTATTAGGAGCAAGTCGGCGAGTTCCGGGCAGCCTGATGGAGAATGATCCCCAGGACGCATCATCGTTCATGGACACCGAAGGAAGTAAGTTTAGACATCAAATCCTCATGCGAGAGGCAGCCCGAATCGCATATGTAAAGGCAGACCACTGTTCAGTGCTAAGGAAGTCACTCCATGCCAGATCTCGACCGTTCCGCATGATCCACAGTGTAGGGGATTGGGTGATGTACTGGAAGTCCTCCCGGACTGAGGAAGGCAAATGGCTTGGACCCGCCCGAGTACTGATGGTCGAACACAATGCAGTGTGGCTGTCCCACCTGACTCGTTTATATCGAGTAGCACCAGAGCATGTCCGAGTACTGTCATCCCATGAGCAAGCCATGGCCAAGGAACTCCAAGAACTAGGCACCACACCCATTCAAGGGGCTGGAGTCTTCCAATACCAAGACCAGATCCAAGAGGGGGTAGTCCGGGGGAGTGGGGAAAACATCGCATCCAGGTCTCTTGAAAATGTACCAGAAATCATTCCGGTCCCCGACACTGAAGCCCAATCTAGTCGTCAGCTGGAAAACCGGCCAGACTCGGTAGGATCAGACCAACCCGATCAAGAGCCAGACGCTATCCCGTCTCGTCCGGAAAGCCCGAACACTGGGGACACGTCCATGCCTGATGCATCTCAAATCCCAGTTCCAGAAGAAGATGACGACTCACTAATGGCCATGAATACGGTGCATGATCATTGGCAGGTCACTGGGAACCAACTCATCAGACACCACATCAACCCACGAATGAGATATTTCCACCCGACCGATGACCCAAAGTGTCCAATCCCAACCGAAGCATTGGAGGAAACACGCACAACTCTTGGAAAACACCACCATGGAGAACAATTCCAACATGTTGATGCATGGAAAGGGTCAGTCGTCAGTCACTGTTGTTTGGCCGATGTGTGGACTGGAAAGACCGTGTTCCAGATCAATCCACACAAGTATCAAACAATGAAGCAGCTCGAACCCATCCCAATCTGTGAAGAGAACCGACCCACTGGGATGGAATGTGAAAAATTCTTGACTACTGCTGAATTGAATAGATGCCAACACGTAAGTGCAAAACATCAAATAGCCCTGATTGCCTCTGCCGCCAAACGCCAGAAAGTAGAAGTGAGACTTAAAGAACTCACTCCCGAAGAACGCCAGGAATTCGAACAGGCCAAAGACAAGGAGTTGAATCAATGGATCTCAACTGAAACGATCAGACGAATCTTGCGAAGCCAAGTTCCTGAACATCAAATTCTTCGAACCAGATGGATCCTCACATGGAAGCCGTTGGATGAACAAGCGGCCACTGAAACTGGGAAGACACGGAAAGCAAAGGCTCGTTTGGTAGTTCTAGGATATGAAGACCCAAACATAGACAGCGTGCAGCGAGACAGCCCAACCTTAGGAAGAGATAGCCGCATGCTTGCTTTGCAAATGATTGCATCCCAGAAGTGGTCACTGAGATCGTTCGACATTGCAACTGCTTTCCTACGCGGAAGCAAGCAGGATGACCGCATCCTCGCGATTGACCCGCCGGCCGAACTTCGACAGAAGCTTGGACTCAAGAGCAATGAAACTTGTGAACTCCTTAAGGGAGCTTATGGTTTGGTCAATGCACCCCTCTTGTGGTATGCCGAGCTTCGAAAGGCGTTACTGGGACTCAATTTCCAAGTGTCTCCACTAGATCCATGTTTATTCAGACTCCCAAAATCCCAGACCGAGCGGAAACATGAGGAGCATGTCAAATACATGGGGTTCTAGGGATACATGTTGATGATGGAATTTGTGGAGGGGATGAAGTCTTTGAGAAAGCCGTTGAAGATCTTGAAAGAAAATATCCTTTTGGAAGCAAAAAGCAAAAGAACTTCGTGTTCACGGGAATCCAAGTGAATCAAGAGCCTTCCGGAGACATCAAGCTCAATCAAACCGAATATGTGAAAAACATCCCACCCATTGAGATTCCTCGAGAAAGAAGAAAAGAAAGCAAAACCACCGCAACCACTGAAGAGATACAGTCCCTAAGAGGACTCATAGGAAGCCTCCAATATGCAGCAACCAACACTAGGCCAGATGTCTCATGTCGTCTCAGCTTGCTCCAAGCAAAGATTCCAAATGCAACGATTGGCGACCTTCTGGAGGCCAATCGCCTTCTAGAGGATACGAAGGGACATGCCGACGTCCAGATCCGAATCCAGTCACTTCCATCAGGAGAGATTAAGTTCATATCATTCTCGGACGCAGCATTTGCGACACGAGAACGAGCCCATTCACAGAGAGGCACATTCATTTTGGCAACCACCCAAAAGGTCGAAGAACCTCAAGGTTCCAAAGTCAGCCCTCTTGTTTGGAGTTCAAAGAAAATCCAAAGAGTTGTTTCTAGCACACTTGCATCAGAAACATACGCACTCTCAGGTGCTCTCGACCAGTTAAGTTGGATTAGACTGCAGTGGAGCTGGATGTTGGATCCTCAAATTGAATGGAGGACCCCAGCTGAGACCTTGGCCAGAATTCCATCCGCCTATGCTGTGGTTGATTGCAAAAGCTTGTATGACCTCCTCCAAAAGACGGCGGTCCCATCATGTTCTGAATATAGAACTTTGCTAGAAGCCTTGGTAATAAAAGATCGTCTTAAGGAAGGAATAATCATCAAGTGGGTCCATAGTGCCGCTCAAATGGCTGATTCGCTGACAAAGGATATGGACACATCGGTCTTGCGAACATTTCTCCAACACGGGAGATGTATGCTTAGGGACGTGAATGAGGTTCTAAAACAGCGATCAGACAAGCGCCTGAGGCAAGCTTGGATACAATCATCATCCCCTGAGGAGTCACAAGTGCGTCAAACATGTGTGGGAAGTAATCCCTAGGATTACGAAAGGGGAAACACTTGAAGAGGATGAGCCCATCCATAACGTTTGCCGCCGATGCACTCGACCAATTGCAGAAAATTTAAGTATAGATAGTTTTTAGGAGTGTTGATTTGTGCCACCAGCCATCGACCGTTCGTCACATGCCACAGGGGACTCAGCCGAGTATAGGGGATGCATGGCCAATGCTCCGTTGGCTCAAGTCAGGGGGCTTGGTGGTTGGCGTGTGGTCGCGCCATAGGGCTGTGGACAGTCACCGAAAAGCACGGTCGAGGACGACCTCAGGAAGCTCAGGAGGAAGAAACAGCGCGTGGCAGCGCTTGTGGCTTTGTTGGTGGGGAAGTGGTCGGGGCCCGCGCCAGTGTGTGTAATACACAATATACATATACAAATATGTTGTTTGTTCGGAAGATGCATCTAAAGCCATTTTTTGTGGATGACGGGAGTGAAAGGGATTGATAGGCCCCGCGAGCAGCAGGATGTTCGAATATCCACCGTATGCTTGCATTGCTTGGTGATTGATCACATTCTGATCAATATGAAACACACCAACTGCATTCGAAGTGAGTGAGGGCAAGCATCAGCCTTCTGCAGAACAACCGGCTTTGGGCTATCGGGATCCAGGATCCAGCCTGGAAGTCACTTGGTTCCAAGCACCACAAAAGGACAAAGACTGCTGGCGGTGCCTGGTCGCACCATCTCAGCAATTGAATTTGCTGGCAGATCTGTACCTGGACACCGTCCAAAAGGCAATGAGACCAGCATTGCGCAATGCACGAAGAAGAGCACTCTCAATGGTCTCCGATTTCTCGTGGCGAGCCGCAACAAACCTAAATGCTGCAGTCGCAAATTCCACAATTAACGACACAAATGCAGCTGGAATACGGCTCTCCAACCTCTACCTGACATACATTCCATGTGCAAATTCTTCACTTCTGTCAAATTCTTTGGCAAAAGACTTGCCTGAAGTGGCCGAACGCCAAACTTGTCCAAGGAGGCCTGCAGAAATTGATCGAAGTCCACCAAGTCGCCAGGGTCCAGCAGCACAAATAGGACTAGCCGGCCCAGCCTTGTACAAATCCCTGGTTAATGCGACACCTTCGTGCAGTGCCTGGGCAGTGCCTGCCATCACACACAATTCGCTAGAGCCGCTAAGTCAAAGACACGCATGCCGCTAGAGCCGCCTGAATCATGCTTCTCAATAGCGAAAGCATTCAGCTGGCCATAAACCTTTGCAAACATGGGCAAAGTACAATAGATTTAGTGACAAAACATCCTACTGATCAGAGAACACTCAAACAAATTGCCTGCACCATCTTGGTCGCAAAGCTTGCCATAGAGCTCCTTCTTCTATCCTGATGTCATCAAATCATGCTACAATGGCAGCTCAGTAGCTGTCAGTAGCCTCTTGTATTGCACCGGCCTCTCGTTCTTTGAGGAAACGTTTCTTGTTATTCTCAAAGTCCGCCAATGACAAAAGCAACCTTTCAACCGCTTGCACGCTGTGCCCCAAACTCTACAAATTGAACGGCAAACATGTGAGCAGTCCGACTTAGCTCTTTGCTCATGCTTGTTTTGCCGGACGAGCTCCTCACAAGAACGCACGTTCATCCAACTGTCAACTGTTGAAGGGATACTTTTCTGCCAAGCCTGAAGGTCTGCAAGTTCTTTCTGAAGCAACTTTTCTGGGGCCTTGGGGCACCAACTGCAGCTTCTCAGATTTTTGTGCTGAAATGTTCAAGAAGTAACCTGCGATACTTGATACCTAGCGAGACTGGGGGAGACTTCTGAACAGCAGAAATGCCAAATGCGCGAAATGTGCCTGTTCGTTCTTTTTGAAGTAATTCAAAAAATAACTGGGAAGCATGCTTCCTCAACTTCGGAAGATGCCTGATTTGTTCATTGGATCGTTGCACTGAGATGTCATTCAGCTCCAAAACAACACTATGCTGCACCTCTTCCGTCTTCTCTGTCTTCTCTGTGTCCTGGCTTTCTGCGCTGGCGGCACCCTCTGAGGAATTGATTTCCTCTGATTTCTTAGCCTCACGCGATCAGATTAGTGCACTTCTTGTCACTTCAATGCCTTGCCACTAGTAGCTTCTTGCTACCAGTAGCGATGGCCTCCAACCTACTAGTGATGGCCTCCACCTAGTAGCTTTTTGTTACTAGCAGGAACGTGCCAAGGAACAAACCAGAACCATGTCTGCAATAACTCTGAAATCTTGCCTCAGCTTCCCCTTCACTTTGGCTGGCGTGCAAACGCCTCAGAACACGCACTATGGCATGACATGGCCAACTATCTGTGTCACACGTTTGAGATCAAGTTTGGTATCCAGCCTGCACTGCAGCTGCGGCCTCAGTTTTTTTACATTGCTTTTCAAGTTCAAGATCTGCCACACATCCATGGCCAGTCATTGAGAATTAGGCGTGTGGAAACATGCCGACAATGGTGATGGTAGCCCCTGGCTGATTGCTAAATCTGCCTCGTGCAGCTTAATTATGCGCAAACTGCTGACCTTGAAAAATACCAGTTTCACGTGCCTTGCGCAAGCATGGGCGGGCTTGAGGGCATCCTGCAACGTGACACCAGATTCACTTGCTTGAAAACATTGCGCACCACTCTTGACACACCTGCCCAATCCCGCAAAAAAAAAAAATACACGATGTGTCTTTTGGGGTATCCTGCAGTTCGTGCAGCAAGTGCCCGTGCCAATCGTGCTGACGCGACCTCGGATGGTTGAGTGGAAGTTGCAAGAGGAATGTGAAACAGAACGCAATTCATTCCAACCTTCATAGAGCAGGATAGGCACTCTGCAACCAAGCCCTTGATCCAAAATCTCAAAAAAAATAGATATTCCAACATCAATCACAACAAAAAATTGTCATGGTCTAAAAACACGTGGCTAACCCAAAAAAATATCTTGTTGCTCTTGTTTCCCGTGTCGACCACTGTTTTTCCCTCGTTGGCAATTGTTTTGGAAACGTTATGCAGGTCGAAACTGAAATCTAGATTCGAGTTTCTCGACGGAAAACTTGCACTTGTAGCTTCACTGCGGTCAATCTGCTCCGTTCTCTAAGAGGTGTTGGTCTGTCAAATCTTCCTACAACATGCCCAAGAATAGGCCCTGTGCAGTGGCCTTCACCACTGTCGCCCTGCTGTCTGCAAATGTATGTCTCTTTTCCTGTGCGGTGGCCGTTGCCACTCGTCTCAGGCGTCACCTTCACAAAGGCTAATTTCCCCATTCGGAGCACATGAGCACTGGCTTTGGGCAACAAAATGCAAAGATGACGATGGTTCCTTTTCTCTCTCCGCTTCCCATGCAGCGCCTCCCTATGGGTCTTTGGCCTGTCTGGTGGGTTTCAACCAGGGTGGCTCCCGTAGGGGATCTCTCAAGCAACAGGTAATGTGCTGAGAGCGTCTGTTCCATATTCGCAGCAGCTTTCATGCCGATCCCACTGCCACCCCTCGTGCCCACTGCCGCCTTGACTAAAAGGCAGTGGCTCACACTTGGAAGCTCTTGTCAGTTCAGCCCACGGCACTGATTGCCACCCTTCCGTGGATGAGCGGCCTGCACACCACGGATCAGGCTCCTCTGCCGCACTTTGCAGTTGAGGGCCTTAGTGCTGGCAGCTACACGGGTGCAGTGGTGGCCTTAGCCATCCACTACTCGTGGCCAGACAGTGAAATCACGGCACGCCTTGGAGCTATTGCCATGCCTAGAGCAAGATGGATGGGCGGCAGTAAGCATAAGTGCTGGCACTGGCTCCACTGCCGACTTCCCGTGGGCATTCTTTTTTGCACGAGTGGAGGCGCTGTGTGTGCAGGTTATGCACAAGTCACCTTAGTCGAGTGAAGATGGAGTTACAAACCAGGTTGCGGTAAAACGAGAGGAAGACCCAAAAACCCCAAACACACCAAAAAACACACTCCAAACAACAACCAACGCAACCTGTAAAGTAACACAGGGGGCCATGACGGCATGAGAGAAAGTGAAACAGGGGCAATGAATTCAACCACGCGCTCAGTATTTCTTGTCCATCAACGAAACGCAACTAAGTTGCAACAAAGTTGCAAGCTGTGAGCAAACATGTGGGCACAGAAGGTCATCTACTGATGGCACCTTGCACACCTAAATGAAAATTCATCGGTGGTCAACGTATCACAAGGACAAGGTATGGGCGGAAAGGACAGACATCGGAAAGGCTTTGCATCTTTGCTAAGCGATATCCTTCCACCGAAGCAAGTGTGCAGGTACCAGAGCGTATAAGAGCACTTAGGAATGGTCCATAGATTGCAAAACTAGACTCATTCAAGTCAGATAGCTTGCACGACGGCTGGCAGCCACCAGGGTGCGGAACCAACTGATTGACGACTGATTGACGACTGAGGAAGACCACCACCTCTAAGCTCGGTATTTCCAAAACGCCGAGGATGAAAGATGGTGTGAAGTCAAGGCCAGGGTTCAAAAAACGGTGGCAAGGGAGTTGCCTATTCCGTTCCTCCCCCCGAAGGGGGAGGCGACAAGCAGAGCACATCAAGCAAGTACAGCCCACAAACAGCTAGGCAAAGGGGGCAAGGCGTGACATGCTCAAAGGAGAGGCAATCGTCTTGAAAGTATACTTGCAAAAGGTCGCTTTAGGTCATCTGACTGCTTCATTCAAACGCGGCCAAGAGCGGCCGATCCATGCAGGGCCCCATGAACTATCCGAAAATAAGTGAAGGGTGAGACACAGTGAGATGCCGTTTTCCTAATTCTGTACACTGTACCCATCCAGAACCACTACGCGGGTAGCAGTCTGGGACTATCTAACTACTCAGGTCAACGAAAGCGAGTAGCGCTGCACATTTGGTTGGTACTCTTAGGACCGGCACATAGGTGCTAGGCAAATAATTAGGAAGTCGAAACGCTGTGTTGCATTTGCGGACGTGTATACCGCTTGGCCCTATTGATAACTTGGTTCTAGTGGCTGGCACTTTCAGGGCAGTTGACTTCGTTCGGGCACTCCATGGGGGTGGCATCTGACCTGGACTGCGCCAGCACACGGGTACCAGCTAAGACCCATGGCAGCCATCAAGGTGCCGACACCCACCCCTAATTGAGGACGGCGAAAGAGTCGTCTGCCCATTGATCCTCATCTTTTTCGTTGCATGGCAGCCATCGAACCCATTTTGGCATATCTAAGTTATCGCATCGAAGAAAAGCATTTTCCCGAGAGTAAGTTCCTCTCCAAGTCACACTTTTGCCATCTCTTTGAAATCGATAGAGCTGCGTGCACCCTGCAAATGCGCGTCTTGCGATATAGAGGAGTGTAAGAGGCACGTAAACCTCCGTTAAGGAGGCACATTTGAGGAACGCTTCCTGTCGGATCATTCGAAGGACACCTGGGAGCTTCAGATTTCGCAAGTGCTTGCAGTGTGCAAAGGCACAGCTCATGATTTCCGTGACTTCTGTTCGTGAGAGGTCTACCAGTTGCAGTTGCAGGCATCGCTCACAGGCTGCCGGTCCAATCCAGGTAAAGTCGGGAGGCAGGGTTAATGAAGTTAAGCCAGCTTCAAGGAAGCAGCATTCTGGCAAGCATCGCGTCAACCTGTGAGGGTTGTACTCAGTCAACTCTAGATTAAGTTGCCGCAAAGCTGTACATTTATGAAAGGCTCGGGGCATTAGCTCTGCCTGTGGAGCAAGCTGATTGGTGGTGTCATTATTAATCCCAATCTGCAGCAGGGAACAGCACTCTTCGAAGACCTGTTCTCCGAACTGCTTACAACCCGGGGCTAGGACCCTACGCAGTGCATAGCAACGGCAAAAGACTTGCGTCTGCAGGCTGGTGACTGTGCTATCCAAATGAACAATTTGGAGGTGTTGGCAATTGCGCCACGCTCCCTCACCTATTATTCGATAGCCTGCATCAACTTGCACATGCCGTACCCTTGCAACATGTGAAAAAGTTTGTGGGGAGAGTCTGTCATAACCATGAAAAGGGACTCGCAGGGCTTTGGCCTCCTCTTGTATCTGCTCCTTACGTTCAGCCTCTGCTAAGCAGGGGCTCACCACAACCGTGTAACAGTTGCAGTCTCGCAAGGTTTGCCAAATTGGGTCAGCAAGCTTCTGCTGCGAGTTGCGGCAGACAAATTCTAGCTCACAACCAAGGGTGCTGCTTTCGCCTATCATGGGAAGTTGTTCCAGTACTGCATTTTCAAATTCCTGAAGACGATCGAATTCTTGGAGTTCAATTGTTAGCTGGGCTTCTTCCCCCGCTAGTGTGGTCAGGATCAAATATATGACCATTGCCCTTTCATCGCTCCACTGCGAAGTAGACAGCATGGCAGGCACCCGTCTCTTCGAGCCTAACGGCATCACATCAGGCTGCGGTCGTTTTTATTTGCCAATCGTTGTCCGTGTCTACTAACAAAGATCTCGGATGTCCAGTAAGGGGGAAGACAACCGCACGGGCAGTCATCTAGCTCGTTGTTTTTTGTTTTTTTTTGGGAAGAATGCTCGGTACTCCTTCTCGGACATGCAGTTTTGAGAGCGTCAACTCCTCCTTACCGACAGAACGACAGAACGCAGATTCCTCCGGGAACGGTTAGGGCCTGACCGCTTGGTACCTTTGGGCTCTCACTGCGTGAGCGCACCCTGGGGCGGTACCCTTTCCACCACAAGGACGTACACTCGGCCGTAAGTGTTGACGCACGCCAAAAAGGCGGAGAACCCGCAGAAGCATGCAACACCACGAGTTAATGTCTTTGTCCAATGTGGCCTGCGAAGGTTCCCACATGAGGAATTTCGGTAGGTTGGTTCCCTTCTCTACCTTATATCCTCCCCTTTGCAGGGTGTGGTCCCAACGCAGCACAGCTCGACCCTTGGTTTAGGGCCTTACTGTGGCCTGACTGTACATTAAGCCGGGGTGTTCCTGCCAGAACCCCGACCGCTCGGTGACCCAGTCGATAGCGATCCCACCCCACCTATGACCCCCAAACCCGAAGGAATGGGAAGAGACAGGTGGAGGTCCAGGTTACCCCGGACACCGTGACTACTCTGGCATTCATCACGGAGGAACCGACGGTCTGATCCGTGTGGAGCTTGGCTACCCTCACACGAACTTTGACCGTTAGCCAGGTCACAGACAAGGATCATAACGTCGAAACATAATCACATCCAACCTTGGCAGGCTAGGCCCCGTTGCCCATTCATTTCCACCGGTGTGGACGTGGGACCAAGGAAGGACGAAATTACGATCAACATCATCACCAAGTCAGTAACCTGACCCCCCTTTGCATGAACAACAGTGGAACTCCCGAAGGAGAACTCAGTGTGTCCACACGCAGGGGTTCACCGAACTTGCCTGACCATCCAAAGGAGCTACCCCAACCACATTCAAGTCAAAAGAAGAGGTGGAAGGGACCCCTACTCCAAGTCACCAAGGAGTGGATGGCGCTGTGGCCTGTCGACCACTCAGCACCAGTTGACACGTCCAAGTCAGCAAGGACATGCCAACTGGCCGGCTAGGGAGTGTGACGTAACCATGTCCATTCATGGTTCCCGGTCGAAGGGATCTACGGACAAGCTTTCGAAGTGAATCCTCCCCCAACAACCTTGGGACCCTCGCGGGTCCACGCTCCCTCTTAAGGGCTAGGTATCGGGGACCCCATCCCCCTACCCACCCTTCGAAAGCATTTGCTGCTACTTGGATGCAGTGTTGGCCAGCCTTGGCGCTGCGATGAGTGAGGCAGACAAGCTTGCTGCACTCTGCAAAGGCACGGTGCCCAATGCTGTGAAAGTGCTCTGGAAGCGCAACTGTGCACAGCGAGACGCAATTTCTGTGAGATGTTCTGGCAGG